TCAACAATCAACTTAAGTCATCACTGTTTTTTTACCAATTAACTCGATAACACGAAAGGTAACTTTAATTTTTATTCTCATCCAGTTCAAATGTTTAAATAAAGAAAAGAAGAAATCCTTATAGCACATTCAAAATAATATATTTCAGAAATCTTCTAATTTTGAAATTGTATTCTGAGAACCCCTACGAATCATGCGACAAGTGGTTTTAAGTTCATTATTATCACAGGTGGTGTCCCGAATCAATTAATATTCATAGTTTACACACAAATAATATACTCAGTAGACTCAAGGTCAGACATATGACTGGGTTCTATTTTCTAGCTTTCTAATGATATTTTTCAATTATTATTCAACTAGCTTTATTTTAAGACGGTTTTACATCGGATATTTTATTTCTCTATATTTTTACATATTCGGCAATGAAATTTTTTTTAAAAATTTACACAAGGGCGATCAAATTTTCGACCTGATATTTACAAACAGTACTCTGTTCTTGTTTTATCGAATCAATAAGCAGACCAATTTTTCACAAATTATTCAGCTGCTACAGTATATTTTTTCGCTAAGTAGCCTACCATAGTATATAGAAAAGTAAAAATAATTCCTTAAACAATATTTTTACGGATTTTGTTTATTGCACACTCACATAGGATGGCAACTAACTAGCTGTATATAAAACTTTCTAAAAATAAAAGCACAAGATATTTTTAACGGCAAATTATTTACTAATAATGTACTAGTTAATTAATTAGGATAACACACGCCAGGATTTTTTTCTTAAATAATTTTCTGACCACATAAAATTGTAGGGTGCTTTTTTTTAACGTTAGTTCAAACATTACATGTTACAAAAATAATGATCTAGACCGGAAATTTCAAGAAAATTCTAACTAAATTACACACACTGTAATTAATTTGTAAGTCTAAATTTTCGAACCAATAATGGTCAAAATTTGTTATATAATTTTTTTTTTGTGGCATCTGGAATATCATCATAATACGATACCGTTATAAAACGACTGACCACCAAGCAAAGTTGATTATAATAATTAAATTGCGAACAAGATTGTGAAAGACCTACCATAACGGTCAATGGTTAAAGAAACTCAATCGGGTGAACTAATGGGTGGAAACTATTTTAATTTAATCTGATTTCAAAGTCAGATGTAAAGAAATTAAGATAGAAATATCTCACGACGTCCCGAAAGAGAAAGAAAGAGGGAAAAACCAGTGCAAATTGGCGAAAGTATGACTCTTTAGGCTGCTCTTGGAGCGACATAAAGTAAATTATTAAACTGCACTAGTCATATATATTAGCTTAAAACCCTTTATTTATAAGATCACAAATTTCCCTATTGTATTTTAAGCCTCTTTTTTAGGCTGTGAAAGCAATTCGATCAATATCTAAATACGTTAAGGCTTCAACAAAATCCAATTTATTTTCCACTTTTCTCGTATTTAAACCAATATTGTACAATCAAATATAAACTGAAGAAAAAATAATACAGGCGTTTCTCTAGACTACGCGACACTAGTCTTTATTTATTTTTTACATTCAACCCTAATTTCTACTATCAATCTTATTTCATTTTTTTATATATATATTTAAACAAACATATATTTTTATACCAAGAAAGGCTTCGAAATACCAAATTTGTTGCATCTGACTTTTTGCTGATGGCTTTTTTTATTATTGTTTGATAGTTACTATCATCCTCGTCTGCCTATCATTACTGATTTTTGTAAATTCAGATGCGTTTCCTTTCGCCATCTTCAGTATTTGGGGGATGTTTTAGTTGTGAGGTTGGGGATGGTATGCGGGCTGTGCAAGCATTAGCATTATTGGTATTGTTTGTCGGTGTGTTTGATGTTTAAGTCGGGTCTTTTTGATTGTTCTTGTCGGCCTTTTCGATCGTCCGACCTAGTGTAAACGATGTTTGTGAGTTATCCTTAATTTATGCGCTTTTTTTAGGGTTGAATGTGTTATGTGTATGCATTTTTAAATTTGCAAGTATGTTCATTTTTGTGCCTCATACTTGTTTGTATTGTGGATGGTTCGTTGATGTTTCCTATTGAGGGTAGTCGCGAAAATCGATTTTCCGTCTTGACCCTAAACGATTTGAAATGTTGTATCTATATTTTATTTTTCGTCCTATCTCACGGATATATGTCTCCGCATTCCCATTTTAGTGTGTATATTCCGTTTTGTTCGAGTTTGCCCATTTTTTCAATGTTTTGTCTTAATAATATTCCTATTATGTCTGTGGTTTTTAATCCTTTTTTTTATGCCTAATTTGTTAAAAAAAAAGTTAGTTTATACGTTTCTTTCCCAACGTATGTGAATGTAATCCATTTAATGCTTTGTATGTGGTATTGCTTTGTTTTTGTGTACGTGTGTTGTTTATTATTTTGTTGATGGTTTATGTGTCATAGCCGTGTGCTATGATTGAATATTCTTTTCAATTCATTTTCGATTTGTCTTTAGTTAGTGCGATTGATTATAGCCTATAATGTATTTCAGTGCTACCATTTTGTATTTGTGTGGGTTGTTTGAGTAGGCCTGTATGACGTTGTCACGTGTTGTCGGTTTTCTGTATATGTTAAACTGTAATTTGACGTCTGTTTTTGTGATTGTTAGAGTGAGTTTAGAAAATTTATACTGCAGTTTGTTTCTATTTTTCGGTGAATTTTATATTGTTGTGTAATAAATTGAGGTCTATCGTCTAGGTTGTGTAATAAATTGTTTACGCTGTTGTATTCGATGTTTAATATGGAAATTATGTCGTCTACGTATCTGAATACTGTGTGTCATGTTATGTTTTGCTATAACTCCGGGGAAATTTTCCTCTTCAAAATTACGTAAAGACAGTTCTGCGAGTATGGCTGATGGATTAAAAAATAAAAACAACCCCTGGCTACTTTCACGAGTCGTTTTTCCGTACACGTTAAATTTATCTACAGCTAAGTGTTTCAATAAATTTAATGCGTTTATTTATATATTATAAAAAAGTGGATTGATCCTATTTCCTTAAATAAGAATTTTTTTTTTAAATTGATTTAGTTTTGTACCGTTCGTTTAATAGAATTTTTATTCCAGAATGTAAATGAAGAGCATTAAACATCAATTAGGGCACAAGGACACAAAACTTGAAGTAGCAAATTGTCTTAAAAAATTACCATTAACGTAAAATATCATTAAAATTTAAATTTTTATGGTTTTACAGTATAATTAAAAGACCTGAAAGGCCTAATTGAAAGAAAAAAAAGTTCTATGTATTTAGATAAAGACTGGAGTAACCTAAAAATACAGTTTATATTATAACATGCTTTTAAACAATCCCCAACAAAAACCATATATCATTAGTAATGATTACAGGCGAACTATTTTCCTAAATGCAGCTCCAAGGGAAATTGTGAGATTGAATAAGTGCCAATGTACATTTTCAACATAATACAAGTTTTCCACTCCATTTAAACGTAACAACAATTTTTAACTAATTGGAATTCAGGACACCGAAATCGTGCTCATCCGATGTTATTTCGCAGAAAAACCTGAATCTGTACAACTTAAAACCAGTCATTGTGTAATCAAGTGTCTCAGGTATTCCACAGAGTTCGTAGGTTGTTACGCTCGTGCGTTGAACGAGTGTGTAGAAAATTTTTCCCGTCGTTTTACAGTCGTTTCCCAATTTAAATTTTCCATTTTTAATGTTTTAACTTATTAATACCGCCTCAATTTTTAGTGACCGTCGTTTTTGCATTTTAATATTGCAATATGTTCGAATATGGAAAAGAATTGTCTTCTTCTCTTTCATTCCAATTTCCATTAACAACCACGACTATTAATCAAAATATAGTTCGTAGAAAAATAGCCCTCTAGGTGAAGGAGTTAATTTAGAACAAAAAAAAAAGGCGGGCAAAACAATTTTTGTAAAGGATATAAATAAGTTTTTTTTTAAATATTAATACTCTTAAAAATAATTCAATGATTATTCATTTCTTTTAAGTTGTCTGTATGGACATACAATTTAAGTTGTATGTAGTACGACAAAAAAAAGCTTTTTGTTTAACATTGATTTTGGTGGGAAAAGGTTTTTTCCTGGATAAAACAAAACAAACAAGTTTTTTCTCCCTGGCATAAGAGTTTAAACAATTCAATATCATCATTATTATCTGTTCGTTCAGTTCTTAATACTAACGGTATATAATAAATTTAAATTAAAACTATTTCTTCTAAAATCCTTTTGATCATTAAACTGAAAAATATTGTAGTGATAATTGATAACAAGCCTTTATTAAAATTCTTTATTTCTGGGCGTAAAAAATTGGAACTATTTCCATTATGTTACTATTTTAAGCTTATAACATATTAAATTTCAAATATGAAACAATGTCATAATATAAAAACCATTAGGATCGGTGGTGGTTAAACCGAGGTGAAATCAGACCACATGGCAATATTACAAGAAATACCTACCACTTTAGGTATTATTTAACAGGAATGTACTTTATCTCGTTAAACAAGTAGTTTTATGACTTATACTAATTATACCAATTTAATAATATTAAATTCCAATGGATTATTATAACGGGGAAAACGCAATTTGAACTTTTCAATACCAGACTGGGAGATGGGGTTTGGACAGATTCGACCGATGGAAGGACAACGTGCAGAACGTAACAGTGGACATGTTGCCCCTCAGCTCAAAAACCACAGGTTAAGAAAATGTGATTGACCTGAAAATCACAAAACCAACCTTTTTCCCAAAAAGTAAGACTTTTGATAAAACGTAAAGGTTTTTTTTTAAATTGTATATTATATAAAAGACATGAGAAGGAGGGTATAGAGGAGGTATGAGAAGATGCAAAAATTGATTATCTTAAGGAAAAGGGTCCAGACAACACCCCCTCGGGTTAAGGACATCTGCCGGGGCCAAGGGTGAAAATTTGTGGTCGATAAGACAAAACAGAGAGAAAAAATACAGTAAGCAACTCACCTTATCAACAGTATCCATAAATTAATCCAAAATTCACAATTGTCACAGGTCACTTCGAGTAAGGTCTCTTCTCGAGTACGCAAACCACTGTTGTCTGGGCCAAGGCCGGCTGTTGAAACTTAAGATGCGTACAGCACCGACGGGAGACACTGACTGAGCGCCTGGAGCTGGAGTTGAAACCGGCAAGGCGCAGGATAGGCTGCGCCGCTGCGACCTGGCGGCCACCACATCAACATCACACCAACCTTAAAGGAAAAAGGAAAGTTAAATTATTATTTTAACATCTCTTCCCACATAATTATACATTTATAAACTTATATTATTATAATAATAATTTAAAGAAAATATTATTTGCAAAAAGTTGTACATAGTGAATAAAAAATTAACTGAAAGTATACAAGAAATGTAGTAAACTAGTAAATAAATTAATCAAATCAAATCATTTATTGTTGCATAGTCACCTTCTGGTATTCGTTTATTTTGAATCATAATAATAAACATGAAATTCACTAATTTCGTGGTCCGCTTGACCAATTAATTATTACAATTATCTCAAGTAAAAACCTTAATTAATTGTAATAATAAACAAGGTATGAATCGGCACCCTCGAGGTAAAACCTCAAAAACCAAAGTTTTCAGGATTACAATTTTAAAGTTTAAAAACTTTTTATACAGATTCAATTTTTGTGGTATTTTGTATTGAGTATTTAATCAAATTCAATACAGTTATCCTAGCAAATGGGTTATTTAATTTATTTAATTATATATTGACTTTCCAACACTTAACCACATAGAACTATTGGGATTTCTTCCTTTAGCACTTAAACTCTTGCATATTCTTCTACTTGATTTCCTGAAAAGATTTGTGATTCTTTAATGAAGTAGAGAATTTTTCTCAGAAGATGTATAGCTGTACAGCTCGAGAGCTGTTTTATACCACCATAACCATAATCCTTTTCCTAAGCTATTTCAGGGTAGTTGCTTAGGATATGTTCAGTTGTCTCTTTTTTTTCAATATTTAAAATGACACTTAACTGCATCTAGGTCTCGAACCCTAAGAGGCAATGAAAAGATTGAATATTGGCCAAAGAGGGAGACAACATGGGCTCTCTGGGGTCCTGAACCCTACTGTTGCTTAGCATCCTGCCACAAAAGAGGATACATCTTAAAATGGATCGTTAATGAGTCCAAAGTTTGGTGGAATAATACCCAAGGCATGAGGCACACAAAGAGATTCATAAAAGGGCTTAAAACTTATGAGGGAATTACTGGAAGGCAACCCAACCAAACCAGGATTCTGGTCGGACTCCTAATAGTGCACTGCCACCTAATGCTGTGTGCACACTAGGTCGGTGGGGCAGAGCGGCATGGCACAGTGCAAAACCGACCTCAAGAAAAATGCATTGAAACAAATATAACCCTACACACTAGGCCGGTAGAGTGGTACAACGACACGTGCACACACGCACCGGATAGGAGTAGAGAGAGAAGAAACACTGTGCAGGAAACCGCAGAACACATTTTATGTTTATGTGGAAGTCTTTGTAGGTGCAGATTCTTGCAACTAGGAGAGGAAAAGCTGCAAGCGAGATCCTACACTAAAGAGCCACTGGCAATGCTATGGAGGTTAATTAACAACCTGAAGTTGGCAGAGTGTTATAAAAATAGAGGAGCACAATAGATCTACTCAGATAGAGATGCAGGCTTGTGGCCACCTCTTTCATCCCTATCCCTGCATAACATGCTACATAATGGGATCATTGTCTATGATGTATTTATGCCCATGTTATGTAGATGTTTTCTCAGATACCAGTGACTGGTTAATAATCATATCTGAGTTTGGCCCTCTCCAACTGCAGTAGTGATTTAGCAATGTTTTATAGTTAGATGTAGAAAAATCAGAATGGTTCCATTGGGTCAAGTTGAGCTTAACAGCTAAGCTTAAAGATATAGGTTTCATATACATATTTTCACATATATATTCAGCGATAGATGGTGTTGCCACTGTACAGATTCGGAGAATGTATGCAAGCAAAAAACCCTTCCCAGTTCACTATTCACATTAGACTTGTAAAGACAGATTCAGATTAATAATATCTGTGAACAGGAAAGGTTCTTCTCAAATTGTAATTTGTGTTTAACTAATAAAGTTTTTTTAAAAAGTCTTTTGATTAGTCATCACACGTAACTGGCGCAGTTGGCAGGACATCGCAAAGGTTTTCAAAGGAACATTGGAGACCAGCCGTTTCAACGGTGAATTTGCTGCATCGGACCTGATGAGCATGATAAAATTTAGTTTGTGAGTAGGAAATTATTGTATTTTATAACAAATTTTATTGTCCTAATTTTTAAGCGTTTTGGGTTTTGTTGTTATATTAATTGTTGAAATGGCAAATTTTGCAAATTCATCTTGGATGCCATCCCTAACTATGATGGCAATCAAGAAACACTAACACAATTTATATTAAAAGTCTTTAGTTGAGATAAAAAAATTACAAAAAGGAGGGAAAATTCAAAAGGTGGGGTTGAGATAGGAAGTTAGTGTCCGAGTGGATCGAGGTCACGATAGCTCAAGTGGTAGAGCAGCGGCGTATCTAGCCGAAGATGGTGGGTTCAAATCCCACTCGTGCCATTGACTTTTTTATCTCAAATAAAAACCTTAATTAATTGGTCAAGCGGAACACGAAATTAATGAATTTATATTAACAGTAGAAGAAGCCTTTTTAAAAAAACTTTATTACTTAAACACAACTTACAATTTGAGAAGAACCTTTTCTGTTCATGGATATGATTAATCTGAATCTGTCTTTACAAGTCTAATATGAATAGAGAACAGGGAAGGGTTTTTTCCTTACACACATTTTCTGAATCTGTACAGTGGCAACATCATCTATCGCTGAATTAACGGCTTTGTGCAGGTGTAACTTATATACATATCCAATCCACATTCCAGTATGTAGTTGGGGTGATGGATAGATAATTTATAGTTACAATTTATATACAAAATAAAAAGGCGGCACTAAAAGAGTAATCATTTTAAAAAAAATGAGACTTTGGGGTCTTAGCTCACAACTACTCAAAATATTGTTAATTAAATTTGATTTTTGTCTGTATCCTTTTTTTATATATTTGTAATACTTGTTTAAAGATTTTTGTCTAATTCGTAAAATAGATTTTTCCAGCAGGTGAAAACTTTGAAAAACTTTTTTTTTCTTAAGCCCATTTGTAAGTATGTGAGTTTCGAATGCAGGGCCACTGGATTCGAACCCAGGATCTTTACCTTACAGCGATCGCGTCGTGTCAACGCCTAAACCGTTACGTCCACTGACGCCTTTAAAATTAAAACTTAAAAGAATTCTTTAAAACTTCAAAATTAAAACTTAAGCCTATCTTCATGGCCGAATTCCGTAACAGGCGGCTTCTGAATCGTTTCACGTCATAGGAAATAAATTAATTTAAAAACACATGTTGTTTTTAAATTTGAAACATTTTTTCCCATAAAAATCATAAATTGTGTTTTGATTAGTTAATTAAAAAAAGGAAGCGAATCGTTAAAATTTTAAGACCGTTTTGTTTGTGAGACGAACGTTTTAAGCCTTGTCGCCGATCGAGAGGGTCGTTGTCGTGACGTGCCTTCGCCGCCCTCGATATTTCGTTAAACAGGTTCGGAACGTCCGTGATCATAACCTAAAACTTTTTTTTTCAAAAACTGAATTTAGGTAAATTCATATTTACCTAGAACTGATTTATCTGGAGGTCCTCGATGCGGGAATGATGGCGTTGTCGACGTTAACGGAGGATTTCACGTCGTCGGACGACTACGAGGAGGGCGAGATCCTCGACGAGGACAGCCTCTACGACGACATCAGCTCCCTCGAGGATCTGAGCCTTTCTGACTCGGAGCCCAGGCAGGTGGACGTCTCCGTCGCCCACAAGAAGAGGAAAAAAGAACACAAGTGCAAGGACGGAAGCGTCTGCCGGGGCGAACGAAGCGGGAAGCACTGCTTCGCCAGGATCAGGAAGAGGAGGCTCAGCCCCGAGTACGCCGAAAAGATGAAAACCCCGGATCACACCTACTACAGAGGGCTAGACGAGGGGAAGATCCTGGATAAAAAACCCACAAAACGCATACCCAACCAGTCCAAGTACATTGGAAGGAAGTTAAACAAAAAAGGTAAGTTTTACATCTTAAATTTTATATTGAACAATTTTAAAACTTAAATATTTAAATTTGGACAGAAGATAACTCTGTCCTTCTTTAGTTGCTTACATTTATCCACAGTTTGTCTTCTATCATCCTTTGTGAGTTAAATCTTGAGCTGAACTAATGACCAGATCCAATGACCAGATCCGACAATTGTAATAGACAACCGGAAGATTATGATCAGCTGTTATAACTTATTGTCAGATCCTGAAGTCTTGACAACTTAATTTTACACATGGACTGTGTGGACATCCCGTCTTTTCCTTAATTGGATGTCGACAGTATATTGACTTAATCGTTGTAGTTTTAAACCATTTGTAACAATTCAGCACGGGTCGAACAGACCCAGTCTTGTTAAGTTCGCTTCTGGCATATTTCATTTATTACATGTAACAAAAATAAAAAGTTCAGAATTACACTCATGTGTAACATTGTTGGGTCAAACAGTAACCACAAATCTGCTGCATAGTTTGACTAGATCCAGCATTCAGATGAGCAATGCTACATTTGGCATGGCTCTCCGAACCAACAGTGAAATACTAATTTTTCAACATGTATTTTGAGATAAAAAATTTAATGTCACAGATAGGATTTGAACCCCTGGCCTTCGGAACAGTACTGTGACTCTCCTTAGGCTTGGTTCACACAGAGGCGTTTGGTATGAGAGGTTGGTATCAAGGAGATCGATGTAACAAGAGGAATTCAACTTCCTCTTGCACGATTGCATTCACTTCGTGAACTTTAAACGATAGAGGACGAAATTACAGTACTCACAATCTAGTAATTGGCAGTTATTCATACGATTCAACATTTTCATAAATATCTTCACCATAAATTTTTTTCAGTACTCACGAATATGTCCCATAGGGACAGATATGGTCATTTAGACAGGGAGACAGGCAGACAATCGGTGTGAAATGCTGCTTTTTAGTCGCTTGGGATGTTCGGTTGCTTGATCTTTTTCTATGTGAAGGACTGGCAGGACATTGTTTACATACACCTTTGAAACTTAAAAAAAGTGATAGAAGTAACATTTTTGATATCGTCAAACAAATTTCATTAGTTCAAACATCCCATGCTTTGAAGCAACAGTGATTATGTGAATAAAGTTAAAAAAGAAAATTGGTGAATCTACATTACTCTACTTAACTTTTACTTGTTTGTCGTCTAATTAAATACCAGAGCTACATCTTCAAACTCATCCATTATAAAAATGACAGAATCAAACATCTAGGTCTTTAAAGGAGAGGATTGAGAAGAGATGGTGACAGAGTCTAGTTGTCAGGAAAGTCGCCTAGATTCTTTTTATATCTCATACTGGTATCAGATATGTGTTTCTAATACCGATCGCCTCTATGTACACCGGGCCTTAGCCATCGTGACTACAATCAATTTTTTGTCCATATTACTTGGATTCAGGTCCCATCCATGACATTGACTTTTACCTTAAACAGATTTGAAGATGAATTTGGAAAAACATTGTTTCTTTCTGGGAACGAGTCCAAGTTATGCAAGTCAATGAGAAAAGGAAAATTAATGTGTGCATGGATTATACATACTTTCATTTAAATTCAATTGTTTTTTTAGGTTCGCTTAACGTACCTAATATTTTTTTTTTGTAATTTGGTTATTATCAATCATTTTTAATCTGTCTGTCCTCACTGGGTTCATATGTCAGGTGCATTTCGCCATCTTCAGTGTGTCTGTCCAAAAGAGAAAATCTCATGATTTAATATTTTTTCTATATATCAGCTTGTCTAATAACTGGATATTAGTTATTAATTTTGGGCTCCTTTGCATACCCTCTGCCCTACTCGGGAGAAAATTAGAACTCGGTGTGGGAAGGTGGTAAGAAAATTTTTAGCTTCTTTTTGAGCTGAACTATGAAGGAGTCTGACCTATCTGTAATTTTTTTTTTCTATCTTTGGCAAGGGAATATGTAGGAGTTATTGGTGTCGGGCTCCTTTGCATGCCCTCAGCTCTGCTAGGAAGCTCAGACTGCAAGGAGAAAAATTTGAGCTTCTTTTTGAGCTGAACTGCAAAGTTTCTTTTTTCTTTGAATTGTTCTTTGTGTAAGATTTCCTTATCTTTTCTATTTGGTTCAATTGAGTTTGTAAGTTCCATACTATCATGGTTAATTCTTTTCCTTTTGAATAAACTCAAGTTCAAGAATCAAAACTTTCCATCTATTTTGGTTTTATTTGTTTTTTATTTAGCTACAACAAGAAAATTTTATATTACCACTGATCTACAGACAAATAAGGGGTCCATTTATGGACATCCACTGCATATTTTTTCTGTCCGATCTTTGAACAATTTTGAACAGTTTTTGAACAATTGTCGACATCCAAATCAATGATCCAATCTTGAGTGATAGTGTTTATGATAACTTATAATAGTGTAATTTCTCTGTGTGGTCTGCAGGTTGATGATCTGTAATTTGGTTGTTATCCAGTCTGTCTGTCCTTGCAGGGTTGGGCTGTCAATTTGCTATCTAAAGTGCTGGGACTGTTGGGTGAAAATGGTAAAAGCCAGACTGTGTCTAACAGACCAACCCAGTGAGGATAACCGGACAAAAAGAGTGTTAACAGCCAAATAAATTTATACTATTTAAACTTCATCTGCAACCATCAATTTAAATAATTGGATCATACAGACATGGATGCACAGTGTTATTTGTTTAGCATCATAGAGGACGGATGTAACAATATTCGACAGATTAGAATCCTCTTATGATGTACAAACCAATTAGACTAGTATAATATGTGTAAAGGATGATGGAGGAATATTGAGAACTCCATCATTCTAGTTGAATGAATGGTATGTAAATAGGAGTGAATGTATTTATGAATGAAATGAGTTTAGATCTGCATGCGTAAGGAGCTGAATTGACTCATCTGTCGATACCCCCCTCCCAGATTCCAAACTCTGTGGGTAGACGGATAAGGCAGTCTGACCCCAGACTGCCAACACTCCAAGGTGGGTGATTCTCGAGTCTGCCACAATATACTGTAAATAGCTGGATTTGCCTGTGGATTACAAGAAGTGAATATGCTCAACTCAGCACATGTTTGTATGTAATGTGCAGATTTAAGCCTATATAAATCTAAATCTTGTGATGTACAGCTGTCATACACGCCCCAGAATGGCCAAGTCATTAAGGCATTCCTCTTGTATTTGCATGCGTGAAATTCAGGGTTTAAATCCTAGCATTTAGCATAGCATACATACACATACATTTTCCAATATTTAACATAAGCGCCCAATTCTAATGGCTGACCTAGTTGAGCTTCTTCATTCAGCACTATCTGAACTAAAAGCTTGATTATATGAACTCACCTTCTACTCATTTATCAGCTAGTCATCACATTTATATTTTTTTCAATAGTGCCCCAGATGACCACAGACAGTATAAATAATATATATTTAGTAAATGATTAGTCAATATAAATGTAGTAATATTTAAAACCAATATATACGAGCTAAGAAATGAAATTTAACTGATATTTTAATATCATTTTCATCATCAGGTAAAGGACTGTACACTTGGCCTGTGATGAAGATTATTACTATGACATTGATATGATTACAATCTTGTTTGCATGTATTAGCTTCTGAGGCGTAAAACCTTACATTTGAATTATTATTCTATATTGTTATACGCTTTTTTAAATGTCCATACAATTTACATTTAATAGTGACTAAAGTCTCACTTTTGTATATATTATATGTATATTCTGTATCCTAAAGCATTCAAAATTATTCAAAGTATACTCTTGAATTCATTCCAGTTAAGATAGTTTTTTGAAAAACATTATAATTGCTAATTTTAAATTTAACCTGTTTTGTGTTGTTTTTAGATCAGTTTGTCAAGGAAGGATACCACTTCCACAAACAGAAAAATTATGATTATTATAAAGAGAAAACCCGACCGTTTAGAAACGGCGATAATCAATGGTATGAAAATGACCATAAATCGAAGCATAAGCAAGCCAATGCCAAGATGCACAATTCATTTGTAAGTTCAGCTAAGCCTGCTAAAACCAGTCTTCTTAAACGGTTGGTGGGCTCTGGTTCGATGGTAGCTAAAAAAGAAGGGAATGCTGAAAGGTCATTGCTGCCGAATGAAAATAAAAAAGGGAAAGAAACCATTTCAGATTATGTCGAAAATATGAAACCATCTGAAGTTAAAAGTGATGATAATTGCCCTCTCAAATACGATGTTACAGACAAACAAAGTGATAACAATGACATAAAAGAGTTGACTGGTGAAATAGAAAAAAGTAAATCTGAGAAAGCACAAAGCAAACCTAAATCTGAAGAACTGAACGAATGGGATCTTAGAATCGCCGCTTTAAGAACAGCCTTACTGAAAAAATTTTCAGAGAAAAAGAAGAACGGTCTTAGTTTCAAAAGGAAGTGCTCTAACCCTTCGGATGATTCTATTGTAGATTATGCTCTTCAGGATTTTGTAGAGAATGAAATGGAATTTCCTGAAAAAGTGGAAGTATTGAAAGATGTTGATTATAGACAGTTTTCTGACCAACAACCTTGTGATATGGAATTCTGTGAAATGCAGCCAGTTCAGCATGGCTTTAACAGTTGTATTTTTACTGAAAAAAATCCAATCCCCTTTTCAGAGTCAGATTTCGATTGTCGGGTGTATTCCTGCTATCCTTTTCCCCAAGGAAAAATGCCCAATTCAGGCCAAAAACATTTGTCACCATTCTTTTCTCCTCCCTTAAATTCTGACCAGGAACAGCTTGCCATTGTTCCAGGGTCGAGTGTTTCTAGTGCAGAAGATAAGTCTCAACCAGTACCTGAATGTCTCAAAGAAATTAATTCCAACAATATTAGTAATCAAAAAAATAGTTTTAAAAAGAAAAGAAGAAAAATAAATAAATTAGAAAATAGAAAACTTAAAAAGTCTCTTGAGCCCGATCGTCCCATTCTTGCTAAGATGGATGTCGAGGAAAATGAAAAGGAGACAACGGAGGAAGAAGAATTAAGGGAATTGGCTCTGATGTCAGTCAAAGTGAAAAACAAAATGCCGCAAGGGATGTTAGTCAAAGTGAATCCAGACAATGAACTCCTTAAAACTTTACATGTGGATACAAGTCATACACCAGCGGCAAACAGCGATAGCTCATCCAACAAACCAATATCCAATAATTCTAGTAGAGATCCTTGGGATGATGTCGATGAAGACATTCTCCGTGCTCAACTTTTAAGCTCTATGTCTAATAAAATACCGACCAAGATTAACTCTCCTACAGAATCCATCTCGCCCAATATCATCCCTCCAGTGAAGAAGGCTAAAAATACCCTGAAAATGAATGGGTTGAAAATGAGCAAGGCAAACATCAACCCTTTTATAAATGCTTCGGAATTAATGAGAATGAAAGAAAACAAAAGTTTTTATAATCATAAGAGGTTTATCAAGAAGAATAAACAAGTCCCGCTACAGATATCAGCCCCTGCTGTTCAGAAATTGGTAATTAATCTCAATGATTCGGACACAAGCGAAGAAGACTGTTCACCCCACATTGCAGCAAGTATCGATCTATTTTTACAAGAAGTTAGAAGTAAGACTGAAAGAGAACAAGAAGAAAATGCTATGCTAGAAGTAATCAAAGTTGAAGAAATGGCTCCCGAACCTTCAAACGACTTGCTACAGGTATTAATTTTTATTGTTGGTCAGTTCATTAATTAATATTAAATCATCTTTAGGTTTCGGAGGCAAAAGTGTTACCAAATGCTGACACCAAAGTGAAAATTGAGAAACCTGAGCTACTAACAAATGTGAGTTCCCAATATCACCTGGGTGAGAGATCAATTTTAATATTATTTTATATGAATTTAAAAAAAAAAATTATGTAATAAAAAAAGTTTGTATATATAGTAGAATAACGGTGTTGGTCTTGTATTAGGTGTGACATTCTTAGGCGATTCTAATGTACTTTAATTGAAATAAATTTTATTTAAATTGTTGAAGGTAAAAAGTAAAAAAAAAATGCAAGAAAATAAATTTAAAAAAAGGAAAATAAAAAGAAAGAGGAAAATTTAGAAACTAGAATTACAATGATGACCCAAGTGCAAACCAGTTTTTTCCATATCCTTTTGGAAATATATAAGATCTAATATTTTTAATAACCTAATTATTACTTTAAAAATCTGAAGTATCACATGTGTGATATGTATTGGCCACACAATCGCATAGTTGAATCAAAAATCGGCATCACATCCTGTGTTCTTTTAGGTTCATTAGATGAAATTTATGTTATTATTAGGTATGCATCTGACAATGCACCTAGAACTAAGCAAGTCTGCCAGTAGTAATTAATAATTATGTATAATACTATAACATATCAATAATTAATATATATAACAGTAATTCACTATTTTCGTGGTCCGCGTGACCAATTATTACAAGACAATTAATTACGGTTTTTAGTTGAGATGAAAAAAAGTTAATGGCACGAGAGGGATTCGAACCCACGACCTCCGGCTAGATACGCCGCTGCTATACCACCTGAGCTATCGTGACCTCGATCCACTCGGACATCAACTCCCCATCTCAACCCCACCTTATGAGTTTTCCCTCCTTTTGCAATTTTTCGAATCCCTCTCGTGCCATTAACTTTTTTTCATCTCAACTAAAAACCTTAATTAATTGTCTTGTATTAATTGGTCAAGCGGACCACGAAAATAGTGAATTAATGATTTAAAAATGAAGTACACTTCACTAAAGCTCTCCGTCGCTATTTCAACTGTCGTCGAGAATCCAAACCGATTATACGACATTTGAAAAATGGAAATATGAAACATGGAAAAATGAAGAAAAAACAAAAACAGGAAGTTTGATTCTTACAAATATGTTTTGTGGGAGAAGATGAAAGAGAAGCAAATCTGAGATGTTCAAACTGTGCAGTTGTGCAGTGAAAAGTGGTCAAGATATTTCAAAATAATGCTCCATATGTGAACCCTTGTATCAAGAACTTAAAAACTATTGGAAAGGTGCCACCTACCTGCAATTCATTTAAAGTTATTATCAATGCTGTTAAAAAGCCAATTGAAGGTCACAGAGAATGCTATAACGCCCCAATGGCTATTGAAGTTGTGTTAGTGATAAACGGTTAAGAATTTGAAAAACAGGATATTACTAATCCATACTCTAGCTCTGCATCGCATTAGTGAAATTCATAGGTCGTATGATGCATTACAATATCCCATGCTATTTTGTTGTCTGCTGTAAAGAATACTGAGAAATCCATCTGAAGAATGCAGTAGATAGACGCTGATCTCAGCCAATGGTGGTGTTATCTTTTTTTTACAGGTGGGTAAAGGTGTATGCATGAGCATACGCAAGACACTATGTATAAAGCCGTGGCTGCCCTGACCTATTTGTTACTTTCACATGAAATCCTCAGTGAGAAGATATTACAAAAAATTGCTTTTTGGGCAAAATTCCTATGGTCGTCATGATATAATTGCTAGGGTGTCTTCAGGTTAAGAAAATGAAATACAATGCTGTATGTATTCGTCGGAATAGCAGAGACGTGGACTTCCATATATTCACATACTGATATGGTTTATATATATTTCAACAGGCCTTATGACAACAGTTATTTGCCCTGAAATACCTGATACAGAAAAATGAAATTGTAAAACTCACATAGTGCATGACCCATGTGGAAGCTTGTATGAAAATGACAAATGTGGTATAAGATTTCCCAAACCATTAATAGCTTAAACTGGTGAGGACAGCTCTCCATAATACAGAAAGCATTCCCTAGAAGATGGTGGCTTTACCGTAAATGTAATAGGAGTTAATGCAGACAACTGTTGGATAGTTCTCTATAATCCTGTTCTTTTAAGAATGTTTAATGCACATTTAAATGTTGAATATTGTAATTCGGTGAAATCTATCAAATATGTTTGTAAATATGTAAATAAAGGATCTAACCACACTACTTTTGCCCTTGAAAATAAGAAAGACAAGATAAAAATTTACGAAAATGGAAGATAGCTCAGAAGCTGGGTATAAATTCTCAGGTTCCTGAGAGTTTTCCCAATTTTTCATCTGCATTTTCAGCATTTAGAAAACGGGCAAAAGGTGTATTTTAACCGATAAAATATTTCCAACAGAATCAATAATTCACCAAATAATACGATCACTCTAAAGATCCCAGCAGGGCTTGAGCCACTAACCTCGCTGTCCTATCCTCTCCTTCTTTTATCTCCCAGGTATTTTCAACATTCATCGCCCAACTTTCTGGTGGGTTCCTCTGTTTCAAGCAGTGGGCCCCATTTACCCTCATTGCAAAAGAAAAAAAAAATTTCATCATTATCTAGTTACATTTTGTGGACAATGACATGGTAAAACCTAGTCATCAAATAACTACTGTCATGACAGTTATTGTTCTGAATTTACTTATTTCTTGTATATTTTAATAAACATGTAGGTAACTATTTAAAAACAAACAAACACAAAACTATTTAACAGTGACTTTAGCAAACAAACTATATACACTGAGAGGCAAAAAAAGTGGCCACCCTAGTTTCTTTAGTAATTACTTTTATTTAATTAATATAATTATTATATTTTTATTATATAATTATTATTTATAATTATTTATAGTATAATAATTATTATAGTTATAATTTTTTTTTGTTTACTGGATAATTTTAAAGAAAAATATAAGATACAGCTAAATATTTTTTTGTTGGCAAATTTTACCAAAAATGTTGCTTGCTAAGGAAACAATGAAGAAAATATTAAATTCAGTGTGGATTATTACCTCTTGCACTGATCACCACATTTTACAGCTAAATATTTTTTTGTTGGCAAATTTTACCAAAAATGTTGCTATGGAAACAATGAAGAAAATATTAAATTCAGTGTGGATTATTACCTCTTGCATTGATCACCACATTTGATGTGGCATCAGTTTTTTGAGGGTTGGAATTTAGTGCAGTGGTATATTTTCATACTCCTACAACAGCACCGTTCTTAATTCCTGCAAAATCTCTGATATCACTGGAGACTACTCCAAACAAGCCCGTACCAGGTAGTCGCCAATGATCTTAGCTTTGCGACGCCTTGCATCATTGTCATGTACAAAAATAAATCAGTGACATATTAGGAACCACTTTTTTTTTTATAACAAATCTTCATTGTATCATGCAGCTGTTAGGGAACCCTCAACGAAGGTCGTTTGTACTTCTATCGAAATGCTTGCCCAAACCATTACACCACCACCTCCTGGAGTGAAAACGTGGGAATGTATTTCTTCTGTTCTCCAAATGTTCTCTTGGCCATTAAGGGACTTCAAACAAAACCTTGACTCATCCGAAAACAAGATTTTAGTTCAATCTTGCTCAGGTCAGTTGATATAATTTCTTGTGAAATTTAACCAAGCTGTTCTCTGTCTTGTCAGAAGTGCTGGACCAGTGGCAAGTCTTCTCTCCCGTATTCAGCTTTTGAAAGTCTTCGCCTTACAGTGTGTAAACTGATATTAACATTTCTAACTTGTTGAAGTCATTATCTGATCTTAACAGCGGTAGAATGTCAATAACGGAGTACAATAAATGATCATCTCTCTGAAATGTGACATGTTACCAACCTCCAATATCTTGGTAGCAAAGGAAGACCCTTTGGACAGTTCTGGGAATGTTAAGCACCGTGGCCACATACGTTGTCTTATTCCATTTTCCAACAATTCTATGATTAAAAAATAATATCTTTCATTTTAGTCGAATCTGTATCACTTACAACCAACACTCAAACAAATTTGAAACTTAAAAATAGTACAATGTAAAAAATTCTAACCACCAGTTAGAAAGAAGCTTTACTGAAAAACAACTAAAAAGTGATTGACTGATTTATTTTCAAAATCTAACTGTAAACACAAAAGGAAAGTTTCATCTGTACTTTATTTACCTCTAAACCTTTGAAATGGACTAAATATCATTGTAACATAATCAGTGGATTGTCTAAGAGAAAATTAAAAATATTAAGGGTAGCTTTTATTACATACACAGTGTACATATTACAATAAAGATATACCTCATGTGAGGTAATTCACAAATAATGTATCAAACTTCAAGAGGTGTTTCTGCACATGATGCAACAAAAAAAAGTTTTTGCTCTCTCCTTTGATGCTTGTTTAATGGATTGAAATTTTACAATTTAATTCAGAATTAGAAACATCGTAAACAGGAAGTTAGCTTATTAGTGAAGTTTTTCAAAATTACACACTTTTATCTAAACAAAGATAAAAATTATATCTATTCTAAAATTTTTTATATTAAAATGTCAACATTTTCATTATTACAATTAATTAAGGTTTTTAGTTGAGATAAAAAAGTCAATGGCACGAGCGGGATTCGAACCCACAATCTTCGGCTAGATACGCCGCTGCTCTACCACTTGAGCTATCGTGACCTTGATCCACTCGGACAACTTCCCATCTCAATCCTGCCTTTTGAATTTTCCCTCCTTTTTGCCATTTTTCAAATGTGTAATCGGATTCGATTCTCGGCGACAAATGGCCACTTAATTAATTGTAATATATTAATTGGTCAAGCGGACCACAAAATTTGTGAATTTTCATTATTTCTATTACAAATAAATGGACCAACAACCTGTTGGTGGTATGTTTTCTTAATGGAAATTGAATCAGTTTTTTTTAGCGGCATGTTCTAATTTGTTGTAGAACCAAGGGTTAAGAAGATAAATTCGTTTTTATGAGAAAAAAATTCGGTTTATATAAAATATAAAAAAAAAATCGAAACCTGAAATATCACCCTTATTATTGAGAATCATACAGGGTTCAAAAGAAACATTTTTGTTGCATTTTGGTGTAGAAACACTTCCTGAAGTTTGTCACATTGTCAAACCTGTATTGTATTATTAACTTATGTGTTAATTAATAATTTACATTTGCATATATTAGATATTCTAAGTTCCCCCAATTGGACTTATTTTACGAAGACTTTATTCAATTGAAAATGTTCACATTTTGCTCTAAACTTGTTTTATCTGTTCTCTGAAGGTCCCCTAAATTTGAATTTTCATCTAAATTTTTTGTTTATTTATAGTTCATTTTAGATCCTGTGAAGAGAGGTTTTGGTTCTAAGAATTTGATTTAGTTTTTGTGTTGACAAATTAAATGCACTGGAGGTTTGTGAATGAGATTAAAGATTAAAATAAACTTGGCTTATATGTTTACATTTCACCTTAATTCTTAAACATCCAAAACTTAATACAAAGAAGAGTATTAACTTTCTCTATGTTTACAATGGTTTTCATTAGTTTTGGATAAAACTACCATCGCCTCAAAAAAATATTACAAGCACGTGGGTTTATTTCAAATGGTAAGAGAGCATAATCAGAAGTATTATTTTATATTTTATTACTGAACAAATTAATTCTATCATAGTTTGACTAAACTATGAGCACTATAAACTAATAGTAGAGTAGTCACAATAATAAACCAACAGCCCATAATTTACAGTAGAAATGAAATATGTGTGGCCTCCTCCAGATGTATTGCTGTTAATGTTTTAATTATTGCATAAGTTCATGTTGATTTAAATTTTGCAATATGGTATTTAACTTCTTATCGCCTTGCAATTATCTTTAAATCATTCGGGCAAACATTATTGAAAGATAACGTTATTAAACTTAAGGGCATCTCAAGGTAAATCATTAAAAAAAAAAACTTACGTAGTTTTCTAATTCCAATTTTCTATTTTTGAGTTGGCTAAATAAATACATATTTAATAATGTAAACTAGACAAACAACATTCAATTGGCTTTAAATGTAATCTGTCAGACATAATGTTTTGAAATCAAACAGAGCATGATTGAATTTTAGCTTTAAAAAGCACTGGTAGACTTAATTAGTTTTAATTGTTCAAATTTTAATAGAATGTACAGGAAATCATTAACGTTTTTAAATGTTTTCTCCAGGGAAAAATTTCATTGACATTGAAAAATTCAAACGATTCGCAATCATCCGAAATTAAAACTCCCACTTCTAAAAGTACCCTTCCTTCTGCCACGCCCCAGGTAAAATTTTCCCATTTATTTTTGTGTTAGAATTTAAAATTTATTTTATTTTTTGATATATTGGGTTTTTGTTTTTGAAGGGTATTAAGCACTTACCTGCTTGGCAGCAAGAGGAATATCGCCGTTTGAAAAATAAACTGATAGAGAAAGAACGCATGTGGAATTCGGTCGAGCTAAAAATTCAAAAAGTCAAAAAAGACGAGTTAAAAGCTCAGGTTGATAGTGTAAAAACTAACAACTGCAAAAGGGATAAACCTTTTTTGAGCTTGAGCCCATCCAATGTAAACAAAGGAAGAACGCCTGAAAATGCAATTAACCAAACCGATACTGTTGATTCAGGCACAGAAACTTCTAGAAAAAGGCAATGCCTAAATAATAATACTGCTGCCAAAGAGAGGTTAGTGAATATTTTTGTTTTACGAGATGTTAAAGTTGTCATTTAACATGAGGACTTTATCACTTTTTTAGTTGGCAATATTATAGAGATTTTTCTGAGTTGTCTTCAATGGTAGAAGGGCTCGAAAAAGACCTTGAGGAATTCCAAGCTTTAAAAAGCAATACTGCCCGCTTGAGAAGAGAGCTCGCATTAGCTCAGAACAAAATGTCAATGAAAAGGATGAGCTTGGTCTCGACAAAAGAATCTTTGGAAAAAAAAGAAAAATACATCAACTCCAAATTAACATTGGAATTTCAAAAACTGAAGAAGACTGAGATACCAGATCAGGAGAAGTTAGTTTTCTTTGATATTATCTCGATAAATTGACCTTTGTTGAAACTTTCATATACTTGTAAGTCAATTCATGTTCATCTTTAAAGACAAAACCACAAATTTGGGTGAGTAATGGCCTCTTTTCTTACAATGTAAGTTTTCAGTTATTAGTGGGTACAGGCAGTCGTTTCCTAGGCTAAATAAATTGTGTAAGTCATGATTATTATTCTTGACTCAGTTTTGCGTTTTACAGGCAAAGAAGTAAGGAATTTGAGTTGGCGTTTCTCAAGTTGAAAGAGATAAGCCTTCGTGCACAGCTTGCTTGCTTTAACCTGGCCAAAGAATTGAAACCGGCGGTGAAGAGTGCCAAAACTGTTAGTAAAGAAACATCTAGTCCTATGAAAAAAAAAGTCAAAACACCATTACCAAAGGATTCTGTACCAGTTGAAAATAACATCAAACTAGAGGCAACAAACTCTGGCGATAATTTGCAAGGAGGGAATAATCAAAAAAGGGTTTTCAGGTAATGATTAATAAATTTATTAATATTTATTACCAACATTAAAATATTTACAAAATTCATCTAAATCAAAATGTTAATTTCAATATTAGAACAATTTTTAGGATAATATGTATTTTGAATTATTTTCCTTTCTTTGTTTGCTTTATTTTTCAGTGTTTCGGAGAGTGGGAGCCTAGACCCATTCACACCTCTTTGCCCTTTTGACATGGCCGGTGTTTGCAAGGATGAAGAATGCAAATATCAACACATTAGGCCAACATGAATTTTTAGTTTTACTTTTTTTCATTTTTACGAGGGGGAAATTTATAATTTAAATTATCAGGACCTAGCAAAATCTTTTCTAGGTGCAATTAATAAGACTTGTGTATGGATTGTAAATACGTATTATATGCCGTGTGGATAGACTCTTGGACGAAACGCGATAGTGTAAGAATGTTTTTCGACTCTTGTAGATAATGTTTGTTCCCTACATGCCAAATTCTGTGATATTAACAAAAATTATTTTTTATAATAGCCATCTAAGCTAAACGGTGTTTGAAACTTATTTAATTTTTGTTAGTCATTAATTTGTAATTAAAGGACGGAGCTTTTTACCAGGGTACAACAATTTTTGTTTTGTTTTTGTTTATTTGGGGGGTTTCCTTTTGCATTTAGTTTTATAACTGTTTTAAATGCTATAACATGTTGAGAAAAATTTGATTTCAGCTCTCAAAGGAAGTGATCTATGGTTCTTTCAACTTTTTTCTATTCGGTATGTATAAGTATGTAAGTTGAACAAAATAAACATGACTTTCCCTTTATACATTAACAAAAGGAGACATTAATTTTAGGTTTAATGCCAGTGAGGTAAGCTATCTGAGTTTTAAAAATCCAATTTAATGTTATTCTATAGTGAACGTTGTTTATTAAAAACTAGTAAACTTTTTTCCTTTTGTGAATTCTTTTACAGTAGTCTCAAGTTGAAATATGCATACTTATTACATTATACTTTTTTTATGACAGTTCATTTTAATTAATCCATCATTATTTTCATTTTATTTATTTTTTTGGTTTGAATTGTCTTCATTCTGATTTCTCACTCATACCAGTGACAAAAGTGTCACTAATTTTCCCAGTCTTTTTTCTTTTCTTTTTTTCCTTGGGAAGCTTCCTTATTCAAACTACCACTTGACAAGAGGCTGCCCTGGATACCATCAAATTTGTCAAGAATCAACTTCTTCAGCTGTGATATCATCTTTGAAAAAATGTAAATTATTAACAAATTAATATTTGAAATCGTGTTGAAAAATTATTTCAAATAAACGGGTACTACGATGTATTGTTGTTTTATTTATGGAACTTTCCTACGCCCTCATTATAGAACTACTATGATTAGATTTCTCTATATAAGAGAAGTTCTAGTTTTCTTTTGATAAAGTTAGGAAACTGAAAAAAAAAAGATTTCTCTTTTGTACATTTTATATATTTAAAAAAAAATGTCATTTGTCAAAAGGAAATAAAGTGTAACACTTAATATCAGTGGTGATTTTGAGTGGCCAGACCGATTTAAATTAATTAGATATAGATGAAAGCTAAGACAAAAATCTGTGAGTCAAATTAAACTGCTTGGCAGTACACTAATGATTGATTAGTACAAAAAAGGAGAGATAAAATCCACTAGGCATCACTATGTGATTAATGATGTCATCATGATAAAAAAATTACACATGTTCAATAATGAAGGAGTTGTATGTACAGTCTTCCATTATGTATTATTAACATTTCTAGAATATTAAATAAATGAAAGTTTTTATATTTTCAGCCTAAATATAATGAATGCACCATAGTTTTGGTGGGGAAAACAAAGCTGGGTGAAGGAAAAAGTCTTTTTGTAGTGTGGACTATTAAATTTCTGTTAACATTTTAAAGAGATGTATATCATGGGAATCATGCATGAACAATGTAACTAACTTTCTAGCCCAAATTAATTTTAGATGCACAATAATTTTTTAATTAATATTTGGAGAAGTGAAGCTTAGTGATGAGGGGGAAAGTTTTATTTTAAATGGCTCCCTGCCAGAACAAACAAGTAAATACAATAATATATAAAGATTAGGGGACTGGAGGCCAGGTGATTAGAGCGTACAACTCATATTTGCCGCACTAGGAGTTAAAATCCTGACATAGTCGTCCAAATTTTTATCTTATGAAAAAATATTGTAAAGTGGTTTAACCCCCTCCGGGGGGACCACAGTAGCCGAATGGTCAGCACGTGATAGACTCTCAGCTGGTGGTCATTGGTTATTGGTTCGAATTCCACCATTGCCCTGGCCCTTTTTTTCATACAACCCCCCCCCCCCCAAATAAAAGAGAGAGTGAGATATAACATTTCTTGGTTAATTATGCAAAGTCAAAATTCCATTTATCTCAACCAAGACATAAAACCTCTTCCATGATACCAGATGGGGTAATTGGACATTGAACCCTCGTGTATGACAGGAATTACTTTATTTTTACTTACAAAAATATTAAAAAGTAAAGATTTTTTTAATCTATTTATGCTAAGAATGAGAATCCAAATGTGTTTGGCACCCAAGAAAAACTATTTTCCCTATGGTTTGATTGTTTTAAAATATCCAAATCATACATGATCAGTGCTGCCATGATGGCCAATGTGACAGAAGTCAAAACTTTTTGGCCAAAAATACCCACACGGTCAAGTATCTGGGTGAGTTAATACACATTATTGGCCATACTTACATGCAATAGGATGCAAATGATTTTTTATATATACGTTTAAAACAAGTAATTAATTTTAGTGAAAAATTATTGGAATTTTAAAAAACGTCATTTTTCCATCGTGACGTGAATTTTTTAACTATAAGACCAATCGCATAGGCAAAAAAAAATTAATGTCTACTTTTCCATTTATTCAACTTTTTACATTTCAATTTTGACTTTTCCATTATATATAAACCTTTTCCCTATGTGTTTGAATTGTTTAATTTATTTAAACTTTTATATTAAATACCGCTATTAAAAACATATTTCAAATTTGTTGTTTAATTTTTACAAGGTTTAAAAATAAATAGAAATAAATTTGGAAACAAATCAAACATGTGGAAAAGGTTTAAGTGCGGAAAATAGGAAATGTTGAATGTCAAGCAGAAAAGCCTAAATTCAAACGGAAAAAATTGAATACTAAACAGAACGGTATAAGTTAAAATTAAAAAAAAAGTTTAATTGTATTAAGAATAGGTTTATATATATTTACAAGTTGAAATAAAAGTAAAAAAGTCATATCGTGTCAATCAGTAATGGTGATTTTTCAACATAAAAATATAGTACTGAACATTTTGGACTGCCTATCTCTACTGGGTTGATTTGTCAGACACATTCACCATCTTCTGTCTGGCACCAACACAGCATCGATAGGCAATCCCAAATTATCAATAATGACCAAATTACAGGTTGTTCACTCTGCAGACCACAGAAGGATATCTCATGATGTGCACAATGTTCATTTCTGATCTTTGCGGCTGCTTATCCTTGCTGTTTTGGTCTATCAGCGTTTCAGCTCTTTACTACTTTCAGTGCTTGGGCTGTCATACAGAAAAATAATTACTAATAAAGTTATTATTGTAACCTAATCTATCTTTAGTTTGTGTTACTTTCACAGTCATGTCTTGCAGGTTGATTAAGATGTTGAGAAGGTGTACTGTGCTTGATAGACTAGAAGGATGAGAAATGACTCAGCAAAGTCATAATAATGAATAAATGTACCTATGCAATGAAGAAAGTTAAGCTTAGCTTAATGTGATGTGCTTTACAAAAAGAGTAGCAAATAACAATTGTATTAAAAATACTGGGATTTTCTGTTTGACATAAATACCAAACAGTTTTCGGCATAGAAGAAAAGAATGGATTTCACCAAAGTTGGGTTTTTATGAAAACAATTGACGTTGTACCCCTTGTGACGTACTTAACCCGTAGGTCAAACCTGGTGCTGTTATCACACCATGATCAATGATGATGGAGGTGACAAAAGGAAACCATTTGACATACCTAAAACGGCCACATGGTCGGAAAACCGAGGACAATCCCTGGTCGGAGTGATTAAAATTTTTTATCTCGCGTCATGGATAGAAAATGGTGTTTTTTTGTTCCCCCTTTTCGGCCTTATCTTCAGATATGACGGCGATTAGTGATTCTTCCTCTTCAAATTCTCCGTGAAAATTTTGACGTCGTTGTCAGTTACACAGTTTCAAATTGAGAATTAATGAGTTCGAACACAACGAGCAGGAAGTTCCTGGACGGAGCCATCGACTTCACAGCAGGCTCGTTGGGTAAGTGGTCCTCCTTAAATTCACTCCACACGATAATCACTATAATAATTATTAACACACGTATTGTATTTAATAAATATATTTGATCTTATAGAAATACATGCAACACAGACATGGTGTTTCATAATTCAATCGGGTTTTTCCTATATCAAACTCAATGACAGCAGATAAGATTCGACAAATTTATTTGAAGTCAGCATTTGAAGATAAAAACTCAAGCCACAGGTTGATAACCAGGGAATGAATCGTCCTTACTGATCAAAATTGACAGTCACGTTGAATATTGTGAGGCAGATATCATTTTTCTCCCTAACAAAGGAAGTGTATTAAATTTTGTATACATTTAAAGTTATTCTGAGCAGAAATTCAATCCAATACTCTGATAAATAATATGCCCTTACTGATAACAATTGACTGTTGCTTTGACCACAGCAAGATTAGAAATATGAGACGTTTATGGCAAAACCTGCATATCCACTCCTGTCAAAAAGGCCACATATAAAATAGCTATTTATAAAATGTAAGTTCTTATAAACGTAGAGTATAATCAAAAGACAAACTTTCAAGCCAGCCTATTGTCAGAATATGATTAGTCATTACTGATAAAACTGACAGTCGCTTTGACCAGTGGCCTCAGAGAAGCCATTGACAAAAAGGCATATTCAAAATATTTTATTATGGAAATGAGCTATTTTTAAATAAATTTAATGTAAACAATTTAATCCAGATTATTGTCAGTAAAAATATGCCCTTACTGAAATTGATTACTGAATTGACTACTGCAAGTTGGGAGGCTCAGAGATGTTTATGGCAAAACCTGCATATCCACTCCTGTCAAAAAGGCCACATATAAAATAGTTATTTAGAAAATGTAGTAAATTTCTTATAAACGTAGAGTATAATCAAAAGACAGACTTTCAAGACAGGCTATTGTCAGAATATGATTAGGCATTACTGATAAAACTGACAGTCGCTTTGACCAGTGGCCTCGGAGAAGCCATTGGCAACAGATTTCTGGAAAATCACAACCCTTCTCAAAAAAGGCATCTTCAAAATATTTTATGAAAATGCCTTATTTTTTATTTAAAGTAATTTAATTTAAAGTAAACAATTTAATCCAGATTATTGTCTGTAAAAATATGTTCTTACTGATAAAAATTGATTGCTGAATTGACTACAGCCAGTTAGGAGGGTCAGAGACATTTATTATATTAAAATATTAATTATTTATAATCGAATGATGAAACCACAATATGAAAGAAAAGCAGAAAAAATGAAAGAAAAAAAAAACTGGAACAAGAAAAGGAAAAGGGAAGAAAGGAAATGATTCGTCGTTTTTAAAAACTCAGATGCCATGGACCTGAAGCAAGCCAGCGAGGAACCGAAATGTACTTCCCGGGGAAGCAAATTCTGTAGTCTTGACCCTGCAATTCTGAAGGATAAGTCTAAAGGTGCGTTTGGATAAGGGACGAGGGAAAATAGTTGATAGATATTGAGGACATTCATAAAATGCATAACATTTCTTATAAAGCTAGGGTATGATCAAAAGGTAAACATTCAAGCCAGAGTATTGTCAGAATATGATTAGACGTAAACCAATAAAATTGACAGTCACTTTGACCAGTGGCCTCAGAGAAACCATTGGCCACAGATTTGTCGAAAATGACCAACCCTTCTTGAAAAAAAAAGCCATATTCAAAATATTTTATTATGAACATGCACTATTTTATTAAAAATAAATTTAAAGTAAACAATTTAATCCAGATTATTGTCAGTAAAAATATATCTTTACTGATAAAAATTGATTGCTCAATTGACTACTGCAAGATGGGTGGTCCTGAGACATTTATGTAAAAATCTGCATCTCCACCCCAACAAAAGCAAAAACATGGAAAAAAAGCCATATTCAAAATATTTAATTTATAAAATAAATTAAATTTTTTATAAAGTTAGAATATAATCCAATGATGGTCTTTCGAGCAGGGATATTGACGGAATATGGTTAGTCATTACTGATAAAATTTACAGTTGACTTGACCAGTAGTCATAGTGCTGAAGGGAGACAGATTTGAAGAAAATCATCATCTCCTCCTGACAAAACCCATATTCGAAAAATTTTATCTAAAAAATGCACTATGTTTTACATAAATTATAAGGATATTCAACAGTAAACAATTTAATGCAGAGTATTGTAAGTAAATAATTTGTCCTTAATGATAAAAATTAAGAATCGCTTTGATCGTTGAAAGATACATAAAGACATTTATGGCAGTCATTTTATATAATTTATATAAATCAGCCCTCTCCTCATAAAGATACCTATATGAAAAATATTTGTTTATTAACTGCTTCTAGTTGTCTACAAATTTAAAGTACACCCAAAAGGCAAAATATGAAAATTTCTACAGTGAATACCATAAGGAAATTTTTTTACATTGTTTTTTAAATTATTTACTACTAACAAAATTGAATGTGAGACCTGTATTTAAAATCTTAGATTATAAAGTTGTAACTATTTGGGAAAAATTTCTATTATCTTTTTTCCTTTACAACGATTAGATCTTCTAATAATCAATAGGTAAAAATTTCATATTCCTATTGCACACCCCGTAATTTACCATTTTAATTTTTGGTTTTGAAACCATTTCCTCCTCTCTACAGAAGAAATAATATAGTTTGGATGAATGTCTGGATGTAAGCCAGACTTTTGATAGGGTCTTGTGCTCATGAATCCTCTGTTAACTTAAACACGACTTACTCCTTTATAAAATCCTAGAAACCGATCTAACTCTGCTGCAGAGTGAGTTGTGTCAATGAAAATATGTTACATCAATATAAACCGGTGTCCCACAAGGGAGCATTCTTAGCCCAGCCATGTATATCATTTACACTAATGAACATCCTATACAGCCCAACCACCTATGACACAGTAATTTTGATTTTTCTATTTCTACCTAAGAAACCTTGAACATTTAGGAACCTTGAATTTGATAAAAACTACTGGTTCATAAAATGGAGTACTGAATCCATGAAGTAAGTACACATATATACACAAAAATAAATAAATGTACACTAGTCTTCCCTCACTGGACAGTAATAATACCAAGGAACTACCGACATTCTCTCAAATCAGTAAATTTGGATTATACTTAGACAGCACACTGACATGGAATCCCCTCACAAGACTTAAGAGGCAGAAGACCTACATCACACCAGACCGCATCTCACGATTTCCGAATCCATCCCTAACCAAGACTTAAGAGGCAGAAGACCTACGTCACACCAGACCGCATCTCACGATTTCCGAATCCATCCCTAACCAAGACTTAAGAGGCAGAAGACCTACGTCACACCAGACCGCATCTCACGATTTCCGAATCCATCCCTAACCAAGACTTAAGAGGCAGAAGACCTACGTCACACCAGACCGCATCTCAGATTTCCGAATCCATCCCTAACCATCCCTAACCAAGACTTAAGAGGCAGAAGACCTATGTCACACCAGACTGCATCTCACGATTTCCGAATAATCATCGACTAACAGTCACTAATTACTACACATTTCTATACAAGACTCACGTTGAACCGGTACAGGGTCACTACTGGATCTGTCTTCACTAGCTTTTTTTTTCCAGTTATTCAAACACGTTTCAGCATTGATCCATCTTCAGAGAGGACAATGAGGTACTATTTTATTAACTAGTTTAACTAACGTGTTGGAATAACTCAAGAAAAACCCTCGAGTGGAGACAGACCCACCCAGTAAGTGACCTGTGCTAGTTCAATATGAGTTCACTGACTTGCAGACCAAAACCCTTCATCAAATCTGTACAGTATATTACTTGTGCCCACTTTGGATATATGGATGGACCATGGTGTTCTGCCAAGCCATCGAACATACAACGCATACAATCTAATCAAAAGCCACCAGAAAAATTATCAAAGCACTCTTCTTCATCACTAACCTCTCTAACCATAACCCCTCGACTTATCCTAACTGTACTGCCTAAATCCTCCCAACATTTTCCTATCGTGAGAACCCGCTGCATTACCTTTAATGATGATGACCCCTCAGCACCTCGTCATGTAAATCCCTCGTATTGATAGCATTGGCTGGTATCCTCAAGTGTACAGTGCTGGCCATAGTATCATTGTATCAAATTTGTGATGTGCACAGGCTAAAAATAAATTTACTTAATACTTTTAAAAAACTTACAAACATAATTAATACAAGCGAAATATTTGTTTTATTTTTATTGTACATATTAATAACTGGTTTATTTATAAAAAAAATGTTTCTGGCATAGAAAATGGAGACTAGCTTTTTTGACATTTCTAATTAGTCACAATATCATCAATAGTTCTTGTAATGAATTTTATCTGTTATATTATTTTATTATTTCTATTTTTAATTCTATCACATAAATTATGCACTTAATATCATCTCTGCTCAGCTCTACTTTTATAATACTAGTTTAGTATATTATATGAGTGTGATAGTGTAATTATTTTTTTAAATTTTTTGTTGATACTGTAAACATTAAAAATGTAAACATCAGGTTTTGAATATCTATTTCTAAAGCACAAAAAGTACATTTACACATATTTAATCAAATACAAAACCAATTTTTATAACGTGAAATTTTTAAAAAATACAGCTATTTTATTGTCTAATAAATTCATTTTCATTTTGTTTTAAAATAAAATACATTTATTTATTTCACATCAACAGATATTTCTAATGACATTATACAGAAGTAGATTATTTTAACGTTTCCATTGGAAAATATTTGAAAAGGAATATTGTTTTTATTCTGACATTTCACATATAAAACATCCGTTTTGTCATTAAAAAAAAAAATAAATAAATAAATAACTCTAACTTGTATACAAAGAAAGTGAAAACTGGATTGTTAAAACATTTCTATACATTCAGTTAATGAAGGTTTTAAGTTGAGATAAAAGTCAGTGTCACGAGCAGGATTCGAACCCACGACCTTTGGCTTGATACACCGCTACTCTACCACTTGAGCTATCGTGACTTCGATCCCCTCGGGCACTAACTTACCATCTCAACCCCACCTTTTGAATTGGTCAAGTGGACCACGAAAAATAGTGAATTTAATGAATTGAAATGAAGTACACTTCACTAAAGCTCTCCGTGGCCATTTCATTTGTGCCGAGAATCCAATCTGATTACATGACATTTGAAAAATGGCAAAAAGGAGGGAAAATTCAAAAGGTGGAGTTGAGATGGTAAGTTAGTGCCTGAGGGGATCGAAGTCATGATAGCTCAAGTGGTAGAGTAGCAGCGAATCAAGCCGAAAGTCGTGGGTTCGAATCCCGCTCATGACACTGACTTTTTTATCTCAACTTAAAACCTTCATTAATTGAATGTTATTAATTGGTCAAGCGGACCACGAAAAATAGTGAATTCATTTCTATACAGTTCGTTCTAAACATTGATAGGTTGAAGATCTACTGTGGTAATGCCAGACGAGGCCGAGAACACTAGCTAGTTGGCATTTGTACCAGCCATATTTACTTACACATAAATGGAAGTGTGGCTTCATGTGAGATCTCAAAAGGATGGAGGGGTATTGAGTCCGAAGGTTAGTGGATTTACACGAATCTCATCATCTGTAGGTGCATATACATGCCACGTGCATTTATGCTTCACTTCTTATAACAATAGGATTTTATTTTTCGCCATAACTTTCTGGGTGGACTCAAAAATTTAAAAGTTAATCTTGTTAGTGCTAAAATTTTTTTTGCAATGTTTAAAAATTGAATTTTTTAAAAGACTTTTGCTTGGAACTTTCAAGAACAATATGAACAAGCATGATTAGTTAGATTTTGCTCACAATAATCCAGTTATAAAATCTTCTGAAAAGGAAAATTTAAGCTGAATACAAATGTTTTCCTTTCTAAAAATTTAGTTTGTAATAAATACATAAAGAATAATTTAAATTTTTTATATTTATTATATTATTATTAATGGCAGGGGTTTGAGAGGATTGAAGTGGCCAGACTATTTCATAATTTCAATACATATTATAGTATTATTAATATAAGAAAATTTGTCAGTTCTGGTCTCAAGTTTTAAAGTTAGTATTCCTGAAAAATTGTTTACAGGTGGTGTTGCACTTGTTTACGTTGGACAGCCTTTGGACACAATCAAGGTGAAACTGCAGACTTTCAACAGTCTTTACTCGGGGCCATGGGACTGTTTCAAAAAGACACTGAGGACTGAGGGCATCAGGAGAGGGCTGTATGCAGGTACAGTGCCTGCCCTTGCAGCCAATGTCGCTGAAAATTCCGTCTTGTTTGCAGCGTATGGCGGGTGTCAGAAATGTGTGGCTTATGCGACAAACACGGTTAGATTCGTTTGTGACGGTTTTAATATTATCCTGTGTTTATTAACTTTTTAATTTTGGTCATGCAGAAAATAGAAAATTTATCAGCTTTGGGTAATGCATTCGCTGGATTTCTGGCAGCTTTTTTCTCCTCTTTTACTCTCTGCCCAACTGAACTTATCAAAGTACGCCTCCAGGCTGCTAGGGAGTTGGAATTGACATCAAAAACCAATGCAGTAAAAAAGGTATGCAAGTCTTTCTTAATATAATTTGACAATTTATCAAAATAAACATTTAACATATTTCAGCATAGGTTAAATGGATTTCAAATGACAAAAATGATTTTAAAAACTGAAGGTATAAGGGGAATGTTCCGTGGCCTTACTTCAACCATTGCAAGAGAAATGCCAGGTTATTTTGTCTTTTTTGGAGGCTACGAAGGAACGAGGATGTTCCTTACACCCAAAGGATGTACAAAAGAGGAGTGTGGTAAATCTTATACTTACTTAATAATAATAATCATAATAATCAATCTAATGCAATAATGTAACAGGAGTCTTGGCAACTATGGCTGCAGGCGCTGTGGGTGGTGTGGCTCTTTGGTTGGTAATTTTTCCAGCAGATCTAGTCAAGTCTAGGATCCAAGTTAGCAGCATTGACAGTTCCTTTTATTCTGTCACATTATCAATAGTTCGAAACGAAGGCGTTTCTGCACTTTATAACGGCCTGACACCAACATTAATAAGGACTATGCCCGCCACGGCAATCCTTTTCCTAACATACGAATACACCAAAAAGCTTATGCATAATGTGCTAGACAAAAATACTTTAGAAGATAAGAAGATTAAATTTATGTAATAATACAATTACTTTCAGGATTGTTTTTTTTTCGTTTAAAATTTGAGTTTGTACCACTTCCAATTCCACGAAGTTTTAATTGTTCAAGTCTAACTTTCGCCTTAAGAAATAATTTTAATTAGTTATACTTTTTATCTTAGGTTGTAACCCCCGGTCTGGTTTGTCCAGACCAAAAGAAAATTTTGTACGGGCGCCAGATAGTCTTTTAACTATCAAGAGGGGGGAAACAAATGTTGGCGGCCAGGAGATAGCTCCGCGTGAGACGGGAGGGTTCGCAATGGACCTGACTGTTTAATAGGTAAAGAAATTAAAGAAAAAACAAAGAAATAAAAGTGTGATGGTTAACTAAATATATTTACACATAACGAAATGAAATTAAGGTACTTATCCTAACTAAACTAAAACTATATGCATAAAATTTAGGCCTTTAACATACAATAAAATGTCTGAAGTGAGCACTCACTCTTTATCTTCTCCGAGACAGACACGAGACGGTATCCGATGACAAGAAAGGAAACGATAGTCCGGTAGATGAAAAATCTTCGAACACGCTCGTAGGACGACTCGTGGAATCCTGATCATGCTGATGTGGCTTCCTCTCCACCCGCTCCAGTTCCGGCCAAAGTTCAAAGCGTCCGAGCCAACAACATCCACACCAACTCCGGGCCACGACTTAACCCGGTTACAAGGTCTTGGTTGAGATGAAAAAGTGTCATGAGCGGGATTCGAACCCTTGACTTTTGGCTTTGTGAATTCGAATCTTGTGGCTAATTTTTTCATCTCAACCAAAATGTAAGACCAAAAGTATAATTAAAATAATTAATACAGTCAATTATGACTACTAAACGTATATGGGTTAATTAAGAAATAATGACATTATTTGATTAATCATCAGCATTAAGGTGGCTCCAGACATGTGGGGACACCGTATGCCGAGCAAAGCTTTGCTGAATCCTGACTAGTGCTGATGGGGTTACTTGCTGGACAACAATAGCCAGTGCTTGCCTTCATCGGCTAGTCGTCGGTTTCCGTTTCTGATTCAAAGTGCACAAATATTTGCTGTTCCCGCACAAACTAGGTGGTTGTACAAACCTTGCAAGTGTGCATATGTAGGCATACTATTTGGCGAATACCAAACTGAGTATCTCAAAACCCCAAATTTGGCATTTGAAGAATCCTGCATGTCTGGAGATAAACTGGGATTTGTTGCGTTAAGATGTTTAATGCACTAAAACCCAGTTTTTATCTTTAATTCTATGTGTTTTCCTACGTTCTTAATGAATATACCTAAAACTTTATGAGTGTATTCAAGTATTAATTAACTCCAAATGTGTATAAATAATTTTCTATTACCTTTCACATGTCTTACTTCCGTGACTCTATCATTCATTAGTTCAATGGATACTTCAGGCTATATATTTTGATAATTAAAAATCAGGGTTATAAGAAGGGAGAGGCAAGACACGGAATCCATTCACTTCTGTGAGTTATAGTTTTGGTAACCACAAATGTTCATTGCAATTTGTTCTTTTTGCTAAAGTTGGTTTAACTTTAAAAACAGCATATTTGATTAAATAATGGATCTGAAGATCAAACGTGGCATTTTTTTCTTGACACCCAAGGTGTTGTTTTAAAAACATTTTACCAAGTGTATGGTGACTAGTGACCGTTAGTCGATTATTCAGAGATAGTGAGATGCGGTCTGACGTAGGTTTTAGAAAAACATTTTCTTTATTGTGCGTGTGTGTTTCGATCTTTATTGAGATCATTTTCAGGGCTCAAAGTGTTCGTTTTCTGTGTAGATGTGTCATTCTTGTCTGTCGTGTTGAGAGTGCCTGAAGATGATCTCAATAAAAATTGAAACATTGGCACAATAAAGAAAATGTTTTTCTAAAACCTACGTCACACCAGACCGCATCTCACGATCTCCGAATAATCATTTTACCCAGATTCAGTATCTGAAGGTGTGAGCATAGCATCAAGGTTATAAGCAGGGAGTGGCAAGACACTGATACCTTTTATTGCTATGAGTTATAGATTTGGTTAAAAACAAACCATGTGCATGAGCATTGCATTTTGTTCTTGAGATATTTTATCAAGCACTGGGTGTGAAGATATCAGGGAATAAGCAGGGACAGGTAAAACACTGACTCGTTATTCCTGGAATTATACTTTAGGTAAAATTGAAACAATGCATATGGCACTATATTCTTGTCATTCAAGTTAGTTTTGTTTTACAAACTACTTATTAAACAAAGAACAAAACATCAGGGGTATAAGCAGGGAGTGGCAAAACGCTAAATATGAGTTGTATTTTTAGGAAAATTCAGTGTGCCTTCATTTTGTTTGTGATGAGCAAGCTGGTTTTCGTTTAAAATAGCATAGTTTACCAAATACTCGATATGAAGATTAGCGCATAGCATCTATTCTAAATTCTATCAATTTGCATTGCATTTTTTTGCCATATTTTAGTTTTAAGACCAATTCTTGTATATACTCAACTTCTTAACAGCAAGATTAATGGGGACGTAATCTTGCCCAGATATTGTGGGCACCAAATTTTCTATGGGCCACAACTGCATTTGAAGCACCGATTGTGTCTGATAGATTAGTAAAAGTTTATAAAACCTCGCATATACATTATAATTCAATAAAAGATATATTTTTTCTATTCAACATTATAATATATGGCAAAGTACTATGTTTAACAAAAAAAATGTTTTTATTATCACAATTTTTACCTGAAACACTTTTAAATATTATATTTAAAAAAATAAATAAAAAAGGATAGTTGTTAAGCTTAAAAAAACAAAATTGGCATTTCTTTTAAGTTTTTGGTATATTTACACTATCTTTCATTTTCAGGATAAGTGCCTAAGTAAGATTCACACACTGGGCAGTAATGATTTATAGTCACGAAGCACCCCATTGTATACGGAACCCAAAGTAAAACCCTATAATAAATTATTGACTTTATTAAGTAGAGTATATTTATTACAAATTGAGAAGGTTCTCAAAGTGCTTACAACGCTGTCAAGAGACCTAGAAATATTGCCATTAAGTGTGTTTTAAATGTGTATTTCTTGATAGCTTCTGTGACAATATGGCATTTACACAGTGGGCAATCCATAATTTGAGGGCGGTCTCCATATTTATCTAAAAGTAAACAAAAAAGAATGATTATTAACTGATTTCCTTTCAGAATATTTAAATGAGTGTACAATTCTACTTTTTTTTAATAGTGAAAATTGTTAGAAACACACAACACAGGATAAATTTTGTTCAATTGAAATAAGCATATTTGTACCTTGTGGAGTTTCAACTGATGTCGTTTTAATCATAATCTCACATTAGAGTTCATCCTTGCAAGTGACTATGCAACGGAGAGCTACAAAATTAAATTGTTTTTAAACACTATTTGCATAGGTTTTTTAACCAGTACACGAATCGATCCTCCTTTCATTCGAAACAATTGTTAAATTTTACATTCAACCGTTTGAAACAGAACACAATATTAGACTTGGACCATATGTTATATTTGAGTTTTTTTTGGCATTGGACTTTTATCCATAGCCATGATTATATTTAAGTTAAATTGGTAATATTACTAAACTATAAACAAACTAAAAGTCACAAAATGAAAAATGATTCTGTCTTTCAAATCATAGATCAAAATTTTACATAATAATAAAAATTTAACATTTTATTTTTTTGCTATTTCTTTAGTAATGGTGGGATTTTAGCAGGTTTATTCCTTGATGGCGGGTCTAGGATAATTTCAGGAAAATAAATTAAAGTTTAACAAAACTATAAGTACGTCCATTTCTTTTTTCTCTTTTAGTTTTATTAGCTGTTTTCTATTTTCTCTATGTCACTTAGCTTACTTAGTCATGAATTGTCTAATTATATTTATTATTTTTTTAAATAGTTAAGGCTACAATGAAATCAGTTATTATGTGTAGTGGAATTTGTGAAAAATAAATTCTATTATTTAGGGTATTAAAAACTTTTGCAGAGACTATTTACATCTTTTTAAACCATGTTTGGTTTCGACTACTGCTTAGCCATAAATGCCAGATCCCATTTGTGTTATTGCCTTGGAGGTGATTTTTTTTTTTTAAATGTGAAAACTGCTTGCTTTGGTACGGCGGTAGCTGAGTGGTAAACGTGATACTGTTGGCTCTATACTATAGGTCTGTCAATCACGGTTCGATTCCCACCATTGTCCCAGCCCTTTTTATCATGCAATCCTTCCCCCCCCCCAAAAAAAAAACAAAAAACAAAAAAAACATCACATATGAGATATAATATTTCTTGGTTAATATGAAAAGTCCATAAGGCTATTAACATATGGTTCAGTTTTTTTGACAGATCATGATCCTAATTTCATTTTTCCTCTGACCCTGAATAGTCGCTAACTGGTTAAGGCGCTGTATATGGACCATTTGGACAGTTAGATTTAAGAGATTGTCAGATTGATGTGATTGGAGGAATCTAGCAGAAGAGATGTGGGCTTATCTTTTCTGGACAGTAAACACCCCTCTCAAATTCAATTCCATTGTTCACCTGAGAAAAACTTTGTACTCTGATAATTGGAAAGGGTCTATAACAGACAACCAATTTTATTTTTTTTAAATCAGGGTTCGCAACAGCAGGGTGCCGATGTTTAAAAAAAAACACAATAACATAACTATGTCGGGTCACTGGATTTGAACCCGGGACCTTTACCTTACAGTGATGAGTACCGTGTCATCGCCTTAACCACTGCGGCCACCAATGCCCCTTCCATATGTGTTGGATAAGTTTTCCTATGTTTATAATTTTCAAAGAAACAAATCCTGGCAAACGGGTACACTTACAGATTTCAGTTTATGATTTATTTGAAAAATAATATTAACGGGATTAATTGAAATAATTAAATAGGTCAATTATGACCGCTAAACATGTAACAATATACTTTTTAAATTTGTATGTTTTGTGAAGATAACAATTATATTATTTTAAGTCCCACTTTGAACTTTTATTAAACCCTTTTTACAAGATATCCAGTCAATAAAAAAGTGGGTTATTAAAAATTCTTATTACAAATTACTTTATAGCATTTTCAGTAAAATGAAACTTTTTTCAACCAAATGAAACATTTTTTCAATCAAATGAAACCATTTTTCAAGCAAATGAAACCTTTTTTCAAGCAAATGAAACATAAGCAATTATCAACAAATAACTATATTATAAAAATAATAAAAATTAAAATAATTAATTTAATTATTTGGACGTTTAATATTATTTATGTACATATTTAAAATGAGAGGCAGATCAAAATCTCTTATATTATTAATATTGGGTTGTCCGGAAAATAATGCAGGATTTTAAGTTTTCATTAAAAAAAATCTATATAAAATATNCCAATACATTCATCACCGTGTTCAATTTTACATTTTTTATTTTCAAATTTCTCAAACCAATCTAGCTCTCTCCCTTTGTTGAAACTATGTAACACTGTTGTATTTAAATTTGAATTGAAATTGTTTTGTTTCTTAAGTGATCTTTAAATTCCAAAAATTTGCTCGATTTAGGCAAGTGTTCTTTTACTCTTGTTTTTATTTCTCTACCGCTTTGACCTATATATTTAATTCAATAAATTAAGGTTTTTAGTTGAGATAAAAAAGTCAATGGCACGAGCGGGATTCGAACCCACGATCTTCAGCTTGATACGCCGCTGCTCTACCACTTGAGCTATCGTGACCTCGATCCACTTGGACATCAACTTCCCATCGCAACCACACCTTTTGGATTTTCCCTCCTTTTTGCCAAGGATCCAAAATCCAAAAGGTGTGGTTGAGATGGGAAGTTGATGTCCGAGCGGATCGAGGTCACGATAGCTCAAGTGGTAGAGCAGCGGCGTATCAAGGCGAAGATCGTGGGTTTGAATCCCGCTCGTGCCATTGACTTTTTTATCTCAACTAAAAACCTTAATTTATTGAAAGATATTAATTGGTCAAGTCTTACAATTCAATTATTGTAATATTAATATTCAATTATCATAAAAATTATTGTTAGTACTATAATGTCATTTATTTATTCCTCTACATACTATGATCATTAGGCTTTAGGTTTCATTTGCTTGAAAAAAGTTTCATTTGCTTGAAAAAAGATTTCATTTGATTGAAAAAAGGTTTCATTTGATTGAAAAAAGTTTCCTTTGCTTGGGAAAATAATTTCATTTGCTTGAAAAAAGGTTTCATTTGCTTGAAAAAAAGGTTTCATTTGCTTGGAAAAAGGTTTCATTTGACTGAAAAAAGGTTTCATTTGATTGCAAAAAGTTTCATTTGATTGAAAAAAGGTTTTATTTGATTGAAAAATGTTATATATAAAGTGATTATATATAATATAAGTGATTATATATATTAACCTGCAAAATAGTAGAAGAAGAGGCAGGAAGTCAACGTTTCTTTGCTTTTTTCCTGTAAGTAAAATAGTTTGGTGATATCAGCAGCTTGAATTATCTTCAATTATACTGGTTTGCCCACCCTTGCTGCTTTGACGTTTATTACAAATATAGCTCAATTTATAAAAAAAAAATTTATTAAAAAAAAAAAAAAAAAACAGAGCCTGTCCACTGAAAATAGTGAAATACCTGCATCTTACAGTCTGAAGCAACAAAGATATGCAAACCAGAATGATTGCAACAACAAATGAAGTTGGGAAAGAAGAAGAACTAGTTATAATAGCATAATGTGGATATGTTTTAATGTATACACAAATTGTTTTTTTGACAGTTGTCTAATAATAGTATAATAAGTATAAGCATTAACTCACATAAAGTTAACATTTGGTAAAAAACAAGAAAAAAAACACAAAAAAAAACAGGATTGTAAGTTGTTCACCGATCATAGATTCCGAGATGGGCGCCACATTTGGGACAGTAGTGGTTCGTTGCCTGGCACGAGTCAATACAGTATGGAACCCAGAATAATGGACAGCAGCTATAGTAACAAATGAAATGTTTGTGTAAAGTCTTTCTTTAGGAAGGATATTTGTATAAGGTGTATTGATTAAAAAATAAATAATAATAGTCTTACAGTAAACATATAACCCCAGCCAATATGTGCGTTTTGACTGTGCTCTCGCGTTCCACTCTTGTGACAATGACAGTGTGACAGGAAGGACATGTCAAAGTCTGTGGTTCAGGGCCAAATGAAGCAGCGATTACAACTGAAATGAAATTAAAAAAAAAATAAATAAAATTTAAAAATATTCTCATATATATACCTTGAGGGACAGATGCTGGTTGAATTGGTGGTGGAACAGCCATGCCATATGGAGGAGGTGCTTCCTTTGGATAATTCATATTGAGTACTGAGACAAATAATTAATATTAATTATTAACACTACTGTTGTATTTGAAATAGTACAAAAATAAACTAAATAATCTTATTGTATAAAATTTAAATTCTTAATCATTTAAAAAATTTTTTTTTTTTGCTTGAAAAAGGGTTCCATTCTTTGGTTCCATATAGAGAGCATGTAGGAATGCTACCCGTTATGAGAATTGTGCTAAACAGCAGCGAGAATCTGGGTCTCGTGTTCTGATTCCTAACCTTTTTGTGCATTCTGCTAACAGCTTTGTGCCCCATGTGTGTTGAGAGTGAATGTATTTATTAGCACGAATGTGAAGTGTGAGAGGGTCGATGGCGGAATATTGAGTGCCCAATCGACCCTCAATTAGGTTAGTTATTATATAATACGTGTAAAAGGTGATGGAGGAACCACCCTAATTGAGCGAATGGGGTGCATGTACACGCATGTGCCAGACACCCATTATTAGAAATGGGGACTGATTATATGATCCCGGAAAAATTCTTCACAACTTCCTATAAAGTCTCAACGGATTATAAAGGAGAGGAAGAACACAGGACAGCATCGGATACGATGATATGGTATACAGATGGCTCCAAAACAAACGAAGGAACCGGATCAGGTGTTTTCTGTACAAGCCCAAAACATGAGCAATCAAATTCATTAGGGAAGAATACTTCGGTCTTTCAAGCAGAAATACATGCCATCAATGCTTGTGCCCTGGAAAATCTTCAAAGAGGTTACACTGGCAAAAAAATCCTCATAAGATTTGATAGCAAGCAGCCATTAAAGCATTAGCATGTAAAAGAATCACATCAAAATTAGTCAGTGAACGCATCTAAAATCTCCAAAACCTGGGGAAACACAACAACCTGATGATATCTTGGGTGCCAGGGCACAGGGGAATTTTGGATAAGGAGAGAGCAGACAGACTGGCCAGAGGAGGATCTGCAAGACCACACACAGGCCCTGAACCTATACTTGGGATAACAAAAACAAATATAGAATCCTCCATCGCAGAATGGATCCAAACAAAGTGGATAAACTCTAGCAGTGCTAGACATAGTAAACTTATGATGAAACAACCCTCACCAAGACTGGCAAAAGCATTGCTGCAACTGGAGAGGACCAAACTCAGAGGAGTTGTAGAACTACTAACCGGTCACTGGCATCTTTGAAAACATCTACACAACATGGGTATATACAACGATATATTCCCATTTGCAGATTATTTAATGATGATGAGGAAACAGCCACTCATATCATCTTCAAATGCGAAGCAACAGCTCAATGGAGATTCAACCTAACATATGGAAAAAACTTAGGAAATCAAATTGCAGCAGTGACAGTCAATGACCTGATATTTCTACGGAGAAGGATTGAGTCTGTTGCACTGAACTAAGGAACTAGGAAGGTACAATAAGCCAGAAGGCTGCAGTGCCTGGGGAGCGCAAAACCCGCTTCCTAGTATCCTTTTTTACCATACCATATCATACCATACAAGCATGTGCTTAGCTGAGCATAAATAAATCAGTAATCAGTTTTGTTTGCATTTATAACTGTATGATGTATTGATCAGCAATTCTTGGATACGTTATTGTAATAATATATTAAAGGTGAATAATTTTGATATTATCTTCTAATTGAAAATCAAATAGCTATTCTAAAACTCTCCACAGACATACCAACTGTTATTGACCAATATAAAATCACCATTATTTTCCTTCGTGATTTTTCTAAAGCCTTTGAAACCTTAAACATTCCCTTTTCTCCTTGCTAAACTTAAAACTTTATCTTTCATGTACATTGTCTTCTTCGTGTTGCTAGTTCCATTCTTTCTTTTTGACTCAATTAGTTTCCATCCCAAATAAGCCTTTAAGTAATTCTCTCCAATACCTATACCTCCTGGAATTCCTCGAAGTTCAAGTAACTGTGCTTCCTTTTTTTCTGTTATATTATAACTGAACAATAATATAAGCAATGCACTGGATTAAACTTTATCCCTTCTGAAATGAAAAAAGGGGATTCGATTTTTCTACAAAAAGGCAATTTTGAAATGGATGGTTGAATTCTTTGATGAGGATAGCGATTTGCATTTTCTGATAGAAAACAGGCCTGTGTGTTCTTTAATTTTTTTTTCTCTTTTTGTATTTTTCTAAACACAAGCAATTTTTTACTTTTTTAGTAGTTTTTTAGTTTTTGTAAATTAATTCAAATAATTAAATTTTCTGTAAAATTGTATTTTTTATTAGAGCCCTATAAATAATTTCAGTTAAAAATAAATAAATAACTTAAAAAAATTAAACTATTAATAAATAAAAATAAAATCATAATTAATAAAAAAGGAAGATTAATGACTTTCCCAAAACCAGTAAATATTGCTCCATCACTTTTATGCAAATGACTCCCAAATTTAACTTTCCTTCATTAGTGTGACATCTACGTTTTACATGGTTTAACAACTTTAGAAACAGTTCATAAAATTGAGGCTGACGCATTTTTGAAGGCAGCGACTACTCAAGAGATGTATATGATGAAGTTGAAATACGAGCTATTAAAATGTTTTTGTTTCTATTCAAATTCGTCGTGTATATAAAGGTTGTAAAAAGGTATTTCATTCTAAGAAAAGTTCAATTTCAGCTCTTGTCTTTCTACTGTCCAAAATTTTTGGACTTCCTGTTCTCTTTCTGAATTAGAGCCTATTTATAAAAATATCGAAAACAGTTTAAGTTTTGCACAACCACGGTTTTTTTTCCTTAAAAGATTGCTATGAAGGCCGTTATTCAAATTTCTATTATCTTGGTATTCGGTCGTCCCTTTCAGCATATATTATCAAATTTTCAAAGCTAATAAACATTTAAATAAGATAATATCGGGGGAAAAGGCGTGAGTACAAGTAACGTTCATTTTGAACAATACAGAGCCAGTTTTATCGAACCTTTTTTTCTTGTGTGGTCTTTCATTGTTTTTCGACCTTCACATGATTATTGCCGCTTTCGCTTTCCCGTCAGGATTAGTTTTCTGGCTTGATTGTATTTCGATTCACTGTTTTGCGTCTTAAAGTTAGTTAAGTATCTAACAAACAAAACCAGCGAGGATAGACGGACCATGATGATAAGAGGTCTTTTGTCTTTCCCTCTCACTTACACTGCTCTGTCACCGTTGTTTTCTATTTTTCTTGTTTTTCTCCTAAACATAGTTTATATGAATCATCTCGTGGCCTGCGGGGTGACGAACCCGCAGTTTGGTTTGTCAGACTCGTTATGGCTTGTCGTCATCACCAGTCTGTTTTCGGATTTCGGTGAAGACAAAATGTCCGGAAACGGCCACTTCATTACCCTGCAGGCCTCAAGAGGAAATTATAGAAAAAAGGTGTTATTTTTGCTTTAATGTAAAAACTACTCAGCACAGAAGATGGCGAGAAGCCGAAACGCGCCTGGGTGGTCAGAACTGCGAGGATGGATAGATAGACCTAAATGATCGGAATGACCAAACTATGTAACAATTAATTAAGGTTTTTTGGTTGAGATAAAAAAGTCAATGGCACAAGCGGGATTCGAACCCACAATCTTCGGCTAGATACGCCGCTGCTCTACCACTTGAGCTATCGTGACCTCGATCCACTCGGACACTAACTTCCCATCTCAACCCCACCTTTTGAATTTTCCCTCCTNTTTTTATCTCAACCAAAAAACCTTAATTAATTGTAATATATTAATTGGTCAAGCGGACCACGAAATTAATGAATTTAAAACTATGTAACTTTTGATGATCCACCGAATCACAAAACAATACATGGACCAACCAAAAAAGGCGAAAGGCCGGACGCATCTAAGAAACAATGCGAACGAGGATATACGGGTCTATTGTTGGATTTTGAGGTGGACCAAAATGTTCAGAAACGACCAATCTACTAGTCCATCAACTTTAAAGGCCTCAAGATGAAACATTTTTTTTTAAAAGATAGCTCCTAATCACAGTTAGTTGTTTTAAACTATTTCAAGCTTATAGCTCATCATCATCATCATACAACCACGTTTCTCGCCATGAAATACATAGTAAGAGTTAACCCGCGGATCACACGCCAACGCGACGTTCCAATGAGAAGCTGGTTTTTAATGCCACTCAATTTTCAACGTGCGAAAATTTAAAAAATTAAACAAAAAATGTTATTTATGCTTTACTGTGAAAGACACCCAACACTGAGAGGATCTTTGAATTGACTTAATTCCTGTCGCTCACAGTAGATCATAGGGCGAGCACGACGTTCTTCCATCCCTCTCTGCCAGCTGTACAACTCCTGTCCTCTCTCCACGACTTTCTGACTGTCCTAAGTTCCTTTCCACTAGGAAACGATCAGTGGATAGTATCCATGTCTCACTTGTGCAATCTTCCTTGCGGGTTCCACTATAGCGGGGCTTCCCAAACTGTGGTCCGCCGACCTTAACTAGGGGGCCAGCGGCAAACTCCCCAGAAGAAATAGTTACAACAAAAATAGAGAATGAGTAAATAAAATTCAAAAACCCAAGAATAATGAATATTGAAAACGAAAGTTTTTATTTTGCAGCATCAGTCATTGTGTTCTCCACAAACAGTGCTTTAGCTGTGAAACAGATGCCAACCTCTTTTAAGAAAGTTTTGGATGAGTCTGTTCAAATTATTAATTATATCAAGTCGAGGCCATTGAAGACAAGATTTTTCGCAATACTGTGCGACGATATGGGAAGCATTCATCATTACCACCATACAAAAGTGAGGTGGCTGCCTCTCGAATACAGGGATTCCGTTCTGAAGACTTATGTTGTTGATCGACCATGTCACATTGACCACCGTTTTCAATGAAAAGAAATGACAATGTCGTATTTATAAGATATTTTCATTAGTTCACGCCTTCAAAAGAAAAATCCAGTTTTGGGATGAATGTGTTGAGATGATGATGGTGATGAGGATACTATGAAGCGAGGTTTGTGTTCCCCAGGAACTGCAGCCTTCTCGCTTAT